ATGTGCCTGCCAGGTGGCCATACCTAACTCATGCCAGATTTCCTGGGAAGGCTCTCCCACTTCATGCTTGGCACCTGACAGATGTTTCTTCCATTACTTTGCTCCCAGAGGACCCTCAACTACATTGTGAGCCTTGTTTCAATTCTCAAGGCCTTGAATTCTAGAAATATAAATCATACAAATACTCTGGATTGAATTCTCATAACCTGTCCACTTGTGGTCAGAGCTCAGTCCCTTTTTCCCTTTGTCACAGTAGGAACAGCCTGGCTACTTGGCTGCCAATACTTTTTTCTCATAGCTCTTCAAATTTATTTAAAGTATCTTTAGACCCATTTCCTTAGGCATTTTGTGATGTCTTATTCACTTCGGGGAAAATAATGTGATTTCTTGCTGGATCTAAATACAACCTGGACAATCAAGAGGCCAGGGTTAATTTCCAATTAAGTGTAAAATCAGCCAGCATCAGGATAATGCTTATTTCCTATTTCCCCACCAGCATCACCAGCACCTTTGAAGAAACACAATAAGCACAATTATAATGACAGTAGAAGTACAAAATGTAGGAGGAAGAGTAAGGCAATGTAGGGAGTGCATAAGGGGTTCTCATGAGGGTGAAGGTACCCAAACCACATCACCAAAAGTTGAATTGTCATAGGAAGGAGTCCCTGTTATACCTCAAGGACTAGGAATCCTCCAGACATGACTGTTGACAACTGCAAAGGGCAGAGTAGGTGGGCCTGGGATGAAACTCTTGCATGAGAGAAAAAAATTGGGGGAAATTGAGCCAGGTTTGGGGCCAGCTTAGATAGGGTGGTGTAGGTCAGGGTTGCTAGTTATAGGGCCAAGAGACATAACAGTTTCTAACCAATCAGGTTACACTGCATAGAAGAATACAATAAATCAGGTGGTGGATAACATTTGGGAAGATCTTGAAGAGCAAACATAATCCACTAGTGACTAGCCTGAATGGATATAGAGAAGATTCCATTCCTTGATAGAAAATGAGGCAGCCACTACCATTGCTGCTGCTGCTGCTGCTGCTGCTGCTGGTGGTGGTGGTGGTTAATAATAATTGAGCACTTCTTAAGGGCCAATCATGGTTATTTGGGTGAAGTAACTTGTCCATGGTGATTGAGGCATGAGTATGAATAATGGTGGTCAAGTTCCTTCCAGGGTAGTTAGAGGCCAAGTGTCTTATCAGCAATGGCTAGCAAAGAAGAAACAATGAGCAACAAAGGAACTCAGTCTCTATTGAGTCCCTCTAGATCACAGACCCAGAAGGGAGACATAATTCTGAGTCATGCAGGATGGTAATAGGGGTGGAGAAGAGGTGAATGAACAAAAGGTTGTTCATACCACACCTATCTCACATTTTGATGGCTCTGGGGGGAACTATAATAGGATGGCACCTGTCAGCATTATGAGACCTAGATGGAAGTAGCCGAGGAAGTAGAAGCTGGAGGGATAAATCCAGGGCTGACAAAACTAGTAAAAAACTCAGTTCCCACAGGTTTGCCAAAGGCTAGGAAAGGCCACCACCTATTTCTGTTCGCCAGGACCAGAAAAGTCCTCTTTTGCAGTCTTGATTTTAGGCACCTTTTTAGGCATTCAGAGGGCATGGGTTTTCATGAAATTGGATTAATAGAGGCTCAGAGGACGTGACACTTGCGTTCACAACAAAATAGAGAGATCCCCTATCTCATGAGGAGGCTCCCGGATAGAAATATTGCTCTGGAAAGAGCATTCCTGGGGTCTGACCCATAGGGGATCCCAACCATCTGGACTGAAAGTCTCCTTATCTTCCAGCCTCTTAGAAAAGGTTGGGCACCTTCACTTTGCACCCCATTGGCCCCATAAAATCCAGCAAGTCTAAATTTAACAGAATTCTTCAGAAAACTCAGCTGGATTGACTTGGGTTACCAAAATACCAGTACTCTGTGAGCAACCTTAGAGGATCAAAGGTGCAAAGGACTTTGAAATCAACTTGGCCTCAATCTCTTCTCTGAATTAACTAAACCACAGGGGATTAGTTAAGGGGATGGTCTGGGTTTGAATCCTGAATTCACCATTTCCTGGCTGTGGGAACTTGAGCAAATGATGTTAGCTATTCTGTGCCTCAGTTTTCTCAGCTGTATAGTAAAATGAAGCTAAGACCAATACTTACATCATAGGAATATTATCAGGAAAAACAGTAAACCCATGCAAAGCATTTAGGTAACACATTTAGCATGCAGTAGTGCAAGTGACCAAGAGATATGGGGAATACACATCTCATCTTGGCCTTTGGGGACACTGCTTCTGCCCCCTTCTACTATATAGAATGAGACTAGTTAAGGGATTGGTAATCAGCATCAAGGTATCATCTAAGAATATATTCAGCTTCCAAAGAGCACTCCCCACCCCTTTTGTTATAGTCATTTGTTACAGCCACCACTTTCTTTGGTGTGTTGTGTATTTAAGATGGGAGAAGTTGGGCAATACCAGGGTCCCTAACTTCCCACATAGAGTCTACTCCAGGATTAAGCATGTGTCTTTATGCTGTGAGGCAAGGCTTCTGTAGGCAGCTGCTTCATGCCTTATAAGCAGCATTATGGTCTCCAAGAAGATCCCATACCCTAATCTTCAGTATCGTGATTACATGATAGAGGAGAGGTTGAAGATGTAATTTAGGTTATTACTTATTTTAAAACTAGAGGCCCAGTGCATGAAATTCATACAAGAGTAGGCCTTCCTTCCCCCAGCTGCCGGCACTGGCTTCCCTCTAGCACCTTCCCTCTAGCCCAGGGGTCCTCAAACTACGGCCCTCGGGCCACATGCAAATACAAATATTGTATTTGTTCCCGTTTTGTTTTTTTACTTCAAAATAAGATATGTGCAGTGTGCATAGGAATTTGTTCATAGTTTTTTTTTAAACTATAGTCCGGCCCTCCAACGGTCTGAGGGACAGGGAACTGGCCCCCTTTTTAAAAAGTTTGAGGACCTCTGCTCTAGCCGCTGGCAAGTATCTGGGACCCAGGCTTCCCTCACATCCCCGGCTTCATCTGGAAGGTCGTCTGGAAGGATATCAGGTCTAATTAGCATATTACGCTTTTATTATTCTAGATAGGGAGATTGTCCTGGATTATCTGTATGAGCCCAATAAAATCACCCCAATGAAAGGTGAGCAACTTAACAGAGGCAGAAGAGGGAGTCAGAGGAAGGGGAAGCAAAAGGATTTGATGTGTCACTCATTGTAATCTTGAATATGGAGGGGCCTCATGTCAAAAAATGGAGACCTCTCCTACTACAACAAGGAATTGAATTCTCCCAACAACCAGAGAACTTAGAAGAGGGTTCTGAGCCCCAGATGACAACCACATCCCAGCTGATACCTTGATTTTAATTCAGTGAGACCCTAAGAAGAGAATCCAGCCACACTATGCAGAATTTCTGACCTATAAAGACCATGAGAAAATAAGTGGATTTTTTTAAGCTGCTAAATTTGCAGTCATTTGTTACAGTAGCAATAGAAAACTAAAACAATGGTCCTGGGCCTTAATTTGTACATCTGTCAAAGGGGGGGGGGGCAAAATATGTGGTCTTACCTATTTTGGGGGATTGTTATGAGGACAAAATGATGAACAAAAGAGTGTTTTGCAGTCTCAAGTCATAAAAATATTAGGATATACTCCAACAGGGGAAAAACCAATCTGTTTTGAAACAATTGGGTTGAAGTAATTAAGAGCTTAACACTCCTGAAATTTCCCAGAAGTGCTGAGGTTTTGGAGGACTGCTTCTCCTCTCCTACAGAAGCAGTGTAGCATAGGTGAACACAGAAAACCTACATCCCAATCTACTTCCTAGAGCAAGTTATGTCACCTCTCTAAGTCTCAATAAAATGAGAGAAAACTCCTGCTCACCCCCCATCTGCCACTTATCTCTCTAGGTGATTCTCATGTCCATTAGCTACAGATAACTGGATATAAAGTAACCCTTTAAAATGGAGAAACAGATTCAGAAAGGATTTATCTAAGGCCGCACACTAGAGCTCTGCCTAGATGATATGACTGTGTGAGGCTCATCTGAAGCAATGAGTGTGCATATATGATAGAAACAAAATAGTACTCAGATGAAAGGCCTATTCGTCATCCCCAGTGTGTGCTCTGCTACTGGAAGAAGATATCTTTATATGGTAAAATAGTCACCTAAAGAAAGTAGAGTTGAAAGACCCTTGGGTTGATACTCTGAGAACCTGTTTTGTGCCATTGGCATCTACATAGTAAAATAAGCAATGACATTGCTCTAGCACCTTCCCTTTAACAAAATGGAATCAGAAATGTCTACTCAGATTTTTCAATAACTGGACCAATTATGTTTTAGTTCCTTTCCAATGATCTAGATGGCAAATGAAGAAAACTAAGAGCTTTTGTCTGGGAGTTTTTCATTTGGTGACAAATATATGGGGAATTAAGAAAGAGGGTAAAAGCCAACCCCCCCAAATAATGACCACTAAATCCACCCATCATAATACCTCTTGCTAGGTAACTGTGGTGTAATGGAAAGAACCTTGAATAGGAGCCCAAGGACTTGGGATCTTCTTTAAGCATGGCTCCTAATGTGTTATGTAAACTAGGCAATTACACTAAATGATTTTGCAAGACCCTACCAATCAAATAATATATGAGTTGTAAAAAGAGTCTATCTGAAGGCTGTGGTTCTTAACCTTTATTGGGTCACAGGCCCATTTGAAATTCAGTGGAATGTTATGAACATCTCTCCAGAAAAAGAAATTATTGAGGAATTCTGAACACCATTTCAGAGGCTTCGTGAAGTTCCTGAATCCATGAGCACTGGGTTAAAAACTGCTTCTTTCAGGAGATAAAAGCAATTAACTGCAGAAGACAAATATGATGCAATGTGACAGCTGCCTGGCCTCAATCCATCTTAACATTTTTTTCCCAGCATTTGACCCAAAAATTGAACTCCTGCAGGACAAATACCAGCTCCCTTCTTTAAAGAAATGTTTTCAGCTTTTCTTTATTTCTTTCTTGCTTACTTGGAAAGGAAGCTGCCAGGGCAAAACAGGCAGAAGAATAATTCAAACAGACCTAGGCTTTGACCTGCAAAATGTGCTTTGCAGATTTGTCTTAGGTGGTTGTATGTAAGAGCAGGAAGGCTACCTTCCTGAGTTCACATGGACAGTTTGTGGGGGGACATCACCCAAGCTGTCTGGCCCCACAGAAGCAGACAGGTTCTTGGCAATATATTGCAGCATGAGAGCTCCAACCTGGCACCAGGGTCCATATCATCAGTAAGAGACATGTTATGATTCTCTGATGTTTAGCAAACATTCATACTTCCTTGCTTCCTAGGTAAGGCCCCAACCCAAGTAGTTTTCAGTTCAGGGTAAGATTTTTTAGATCAGTGGTTAGTCCCAAATCATTCAGAGTTCGATGTCCTTTTGAGGAGGCAGGAAGTTCAGGAAGAGTTGAAAACTGAGCTCCCCTCTTCAACTCAGGTCAGTGGATAGCTTGGTTTCTGCAGAGTCTGGCTTGAGGGAGTTTATCCATTCACAGTCATACAGGAGCTCAAAATAGAACTTCTGACGGGATAAAGACAGAATAAAAAGGAGAAATAAACCTGTTCTAGGACATGTGCCCCCTATTTATAGCATCCTAGAGCCTAAAGGTGCAGGGCCAGGAAGGAGCTGTTCTTCAGCACAAAATGACTCAGCACACAGGGTTTGAAGATCCTTCCAAAACCTGGAAAAGGTCTTCAGAGGCCAAGGCTTTTAAACCTGAAAGGGAAAGAAGAGAGTAGAAAATTAGCTAAGACTGGTTATACACTTAACAGCCACTGAGTAGTGGGGCCTCCTTGGTAGGTAGCTAAGCATGCATTTGGTAGCTAATCTGAATAATAGGGACTGGCTAGGAAAAGGCCCTTATAACTCTGATCCCAGGAAACAGGGCCTAAGGTGGCCCCTATACTCAGGAATAGAAACTGTGTGCCTTTGGCCTCAACTCTAATCCCCCAAAAGTCTACAGGGGATGCAGAAGCTTGATACCTCTGAGATTATCCCCCACCCTGTAACATGGCCACTACCTTTATAGCATTTATAACACTACAATATTTCCACACTTCTTTTTACTGGGACTTCACCTCCATGAGGGCTGATAAGGAAAAAGCTTATCTACCTGTGCATCTCTGAGGACTGCCAGTGATAATAAAAAAAAGGAAGCCTGGGACAGACACCTGGATCTCATTTCTGTGTATATTGGTTCATGTTATGCCAGCAATCTGATAGTCAAACAATCAGAACTCCTAGATAAAAACATTTCCATGATCTCCATGGCTCCTGTTGACTTCAGCAAGTTACTTATACCCTCTGAACCTCAGTTTCTTATTCGTTGAGTTAAAATGCATATTATCCTCCCTGTATCTAGCATTTGATATGCATCAAATGAGCTAATGGATGTGAAAGTGCTTTACATCAGACAAATACGAAGGACTAAGAAGGAAGTTTCAGAGGGGTAACACTGAAATAGTGATTGGGTCTGAAAGAATGAAGTCCTACTACAGATACTAAGCTGGACTCTTGGTTCCTGCTATAATGCCCAAAGAGAAGTTACTGATCATCTTATAGACCCAAAGAATGCCAGAGTAAGAAAGTTACAACCTTTTCATTTTACAGATTGGGAAATTGAGGCTCAGAGAATGAAATGTACTTGCCCCAAATGTCACAGTCTAGGATTCCTAATAAACTTGATTCAAAAGCAATTTGTAAAACTACACTGTAGTTTTGCTGGGGAAAAAGAAAGGAAAGAAGAAAGAAACTTAAAAACACAGAGAATCTCAGAATTAGAAGGCAGTAAGTAATTATAGGGTAATGAACTGAGACATGGAGGTAAGTTTCCAGTCTCTGAACCAACACAGTATTCCAATCATCAGAAACTCAGATCCCATAAAGAAGTCTTATGTGTGCCCGGCCAGAGTTCAATTCCCAGTCAGAGCACAGGCTGGGGTTGAGGGCTCAATCCTCAGTGGGGGGTGTGCAGGAGGCAGCTGATTGATGATTCTCATTAAGGTTTCTCTCTCTCCCTCTCCCTCTCTCTGAGTTCAATAAAAACATCCTATATAATAAAAGAGAAACATGCAAATTAACCATCCCTCCGCTACACTCAAGCCACACCAACAAGCCATGCCCACAAGCCAATCAGGAGCAAGTATGCAAATTAACCTAACTAAGATGGCGGCGGCCACAGAGCTGGAGCAAGCAGGAGGCTTGGGTTGCCCCTGGCGATTGAGGAAGCCAAGATTCCCACCTGCCCTGGCTGGCCCTGGGCTATGCTCAAGGCTACAAAGTTTCAATTATAGAAGATAAATCAATCCCAGATACCTGCTTCCAGCTGGCCTGTGCTCCACTCAAGGCTACAAAGTTTCAATTATAGAAGATAAATAAATCCCAGAAAAGAAAAAAAAATGAGAGGCTGGGAGCTTGGGTCACCGGGGGGCATGGCCAGGCTGCAAACAGCCATCAGCCCATTACCCACGCTGGCCAGGCACCCCAATGGGACTCCCCCACCCTGAAGGGGCTGTGGCCAGCCTGAAAACAGCCCTTAGCCCCTCACCCAGGCTGTCCACACCCCCATGGGGTGAGGGTCCCCGCTGGGGGTCTTGGCCAACAGCCATCAGCCCCCCACCCAGGCTGGCCAGGCACCCCAGTGGGGACCCCCACCCTGATCTGGGACACCCTTCAGGGCAAACCAGCCGGCCCCCACCCATGCACCAGGCCTCTATCCTATATAATAAAAGGGTAATATGCAAATTGACCCTAACAGCAGAACGACTGGGAATGACTGGTCACTATGACACGCACTGACCACCAGGGGCAGATGCTCAATGCAGGAGCTGCCCCCTGGTGGTCAGTGCGCTCCCACAGGGAGAGCTCTGCTCAGCCACAAGCCAGGCTGATGGCTAACAGCACAGTGGTGGTGGCGGGAGCCTCTCCCGCCTCCTCAGCAGTGCTAAGGATGTCCAACTACAGCTTAGGCCTGCTCCCCACTGGCAAGTGGACATCCCAGGAGGGCTCCCGGGCTTCCAGAGAGATGTCTGACTGCCAGCTTAGTCCCGATCCCCCAGGGAGCAGCCTAAGCCAGCAGGTGGACATCCCCCTAGGGGTCCCAGACTGCAAGAAGGCACAGGCCGGGCTGAGGAACCCCCCCTCCCGAATGCACAAATTTTTGTGCACAGAGCCTCTAGTCCTATATAATAAAAGGCTTATATGCAAATCGACCAAATGGTAGAATGACCAGTCACTATGATGTGCACTGACCACCAGGGGCAGATGCTCACTGCAGGAGCTGCCCCCTGGTGGTCAGTGCTCTCCCACAGCGGGAGAGCCTCTCAGCCAGAAGCTAAGCTCATGGCTGGCTAGCGCAGCAGTGGTGGCGGGAACCTCTTCCGCCTCCATGGCAGTTGGCCATCCCCTGAGGGCTTCTGGATGTGAGAGGGCACAGGCTAGGCTGAGGGACCCCCTGAGTGCACGAATTTCATGCACCGGGCCTCTAATATATACACACAAATAAAAGCATTATATGATAATTAGACCGGGAGACCTTCTGGACGTCCTTCTGGACAAAGCCATGGTGGCGGGGCTGAGGCAGAGGCAGTTAGGGGCAATCAGGATGGCAGGGGAGGACAGTTGGAG